CTTGTCGTTATTATTACAGGAGCTATAGGCTCTGAAGTAATACCTTTAGATACCAATAATTTTGAAAGTTCTATAAAAGAAGAAACTTGGTAAGTTTGATTAATTCTTTAACGTTAAATTACACAAAAACTAAACTCGGGTTTGATCTTAGGTTTGTAAAATTTTTTGTGCCATGGTGCCATCATTGTCAGGATCTTGGTAAGTCTACAGTAGAGCTTGTTATTTATCTATTTGAAAATTAAAATGATGATAACTAAAAAGAAAATTTTGTTTACATAAGCCCCAATATGGTCAAAAGTAGCAGATGACAATAGAAATTATATTAAATCAAAGAAATTTCATATGGCTGAAGTTGATTGCACGTTATATGGAGGTAGGGAAAATATATAGTTTTAAATTTTTTTAAAATCCTTTCTAATTAAATTTCTAAATTATTTCAGATATTTGCGAGAAAAATGATGTACATTCTTATCCTAAATTGCATCTGTAAGTTATCCTTTAAAATCATAATAATTAATTAATTAATTATTGTTAGTTTTAAAACATTTTATGTTGTTTAACAGATTCAGCAAAGGAAAAAGGGTTGGATCGTATGATGATGGTGATAAAAGAGACTATGATTCATTAACCAAATATGTAAAGTCCAAAGCAGATGAATATTATATTCCTTCCACAGTTAATGATAATGTTTCCGATGAAGAACCAGCAAAAGTCAATCCATTTGGAACTGTTGTATTATTATCTGCTAAAAATTTTGATCAATTAACAAGTTCCGGAATTTGGTTTATAAAATTTTTTGCTCCTTGGTGTGGACATTGTCAAAAATTGGCACCCGTATGGGAGGAGTTGGGACGTGAATTACAATATAAAGTGAATGTTGGTAAGGTCGATTGTACTGTTGATTCTGGTAAGCAAATATGTATCTATAATTTATTTATTTATTTTAAGTCCAAAGGGAACTAAATTTATTTTTCGTTTCATTTAGGCCTTTGTGGTAGATTTAAAGTTCAAGGTTATCCAACGTTGAAATTGTATCCTTCAATTTTAAATTTTACCCTTTTAAACTTTCCTTGTATTATTTTTGATATATAAACTAAAAATTTACGTAGATTGCAAAATCCGGATGATATAATCGAATATAAAGGATCTAGACAATTAAATACCCTAAGAGATTTTGCCGAAAAAGCGTCTCGTGCTCATGTATTAGAAATTAGTATAAAAGACCTTGATAGAATCAAGAAACTGGATGACGTTCTTTTTATTTATCTTTATGACGATAAGACACCTCTTAGCATTCTTGTAAATATCAAGTAATTTCGTTGAATGCGCAATCCTTTATTATAATAATCTGACGACATTTTCTTTTACTCGATTTAGAAAATGATTAGGGGATTGTCTCGATCATTCTTCTCGGTGAAATTCTATTCTTCTAAAGATTCCAACCTTACCGCACAATTAAAAGTAGATAAACTTCCAGCTCTGATAGTACTTAAGGATGAACTTCAAACGAATTATCCTTATACTTCCATAGAATCATTTGCAAACCGTGAAAATCTTAAAGGATGGATACAGTCAGAAAAATATCCTCTAGTACCAGCAATGGATTCAGAAAATTATGAGGATATTTTAGGAGGTGATAGATTGGTTGTATTAGGAGTTTTAAGACCATTTGAAGGGACGCAATTCATTAAGGCAAAAAAGAATTTAAAAAATACGGCCAAATTATATTATCAACAGATTAAGGAAGAAGGTGGAAATGAGGATGGAAGACGGGTAATATTCGCTTGGTTAGATGGAACCAGATGGAGTGATTATATTTACGGAGTTTATGGACTACAAAAATCGGACTTACCTACCGTCTTAATTGCTGATCCCGTGGTAAATTTGATATCTGTGTATCTTTTGAAAAAATCATGACGAATCCACTAATTCGTAAAAAAATAATTTGTTTTTTAATAGTCAAATGAATATTTCGATACTACAAGATTAGGAGTAAAACTTACTTTATCGAATCCAGAACAACTATTAGAATCTATTCATAATGCCAAGAAAGGTTATTTAGTTGGAAAAAGTACTTTGGGATTTGTGGAAAAGATATTTAGGGTAAATTTTGAATGTTTATTATTTTTATTATTTTTATTTTTATTATTAACGATTAAAATTAAATTGTTATTAGGATATATTTTCATTTGGAGTATATATACAGGTAATTTACTAAAAATAATCATTTCTTATAAATGCAATCACTAACCTTTTTTTTTTTGGTTTATTTGATATAGCAATCCATTTTTAGTCATCCGTTTACTTCTTTAACTGTTCTTGTGTTAATAATCGGAAGTATTTATAGATATTGCATAGTTCTTAAAACAAGAAATGTAAGAGATTATGAGTATGGTAAATTTGAATAAAAAAGTTCTGACTATATGCATAAAAATTAAGTTTTAGATTTTGAACTTATGATATTATTATAGAGATCGATTTTTGCTTTTTTTTTTTCAAATTATTTTTTATATACATTTAAAATTTAAAAATCTGCTTTTTGTATTAAACTAATATAGTGTTATTCATGTAAAAAGTAGATGTAATTTTGGTAATACTATATAAAAGATCTTTTGGTAAAGTGCAAAAATCAACACACTAAAATTTGTAGATTTTTATTTTATTTTTTAAAAAAAAAAATTTACATACAGTATATATTCTATAAACAGTATGTATATATATCAACTAACCATAGTGACGAAATATTTAATAAAAAAGGAAATCATTAATCATGAAAAATATATATATCACGGGAACGGGTCCGCGTAAAAAAGCATTGAATACCTTTTTGGTTTTGTTTTGATCTCATCCACATTAATGAAAGGAAAGCAGACATTCGTATTTCCGTAAAGTAATTCTTATTCAGATTAAGAACTTTCTAGAGAATAATCCTTGTTTGCTTTCAGGCGAAAGAATCCTCGGTTTAAAGACAAACAAGAATAACATAATCCACAAGTTTTGTACCGCAATTAGTGTATGTATACAATTTTGAACATTGTAATCAAAGTAATTAAAAATTACTTTTTTACCAGTATTGAATTGAGAGAACCGAAAGAACATATTGGGGCTTATCACATTTCTAATATAAGAACGCAATCCACTTGAAACATATGCACGCAATTTGTACAATATTTAGGATTTTTGACAAACAAAAACAGTATAATTAAACAGGACAGGTACTTTCAATAACATTATTCAAAGTTAACAAAATCAGTCCGATATGATTAATTAAACTCTGCATAGTCTGTTCGATGAATTCGATGAATTCGATGATTGTAACCCTGATACTAATGTTCCTCATATATCTCACAACATGAAAATATTTACAATACAAGGTCAAAGATACTATCTAAAGGGTCATTGAAATTTCAAGCTATAGATTATAGATGTCACACGCCGGATCATTTTGGAATTGATTTCATTGGTGGGATATCGATGATATTCAACTACCAGCAATCGTTCATTGAACACCAGTTCTACGAATATTTACGGAATAAATTGATCTTTTTATAGTGAATGGTAGTAATCCAAAACATGAAAATTCGTGAAAGCATGACACGATAAAAATACATATAGATACACATGTGGCAAATTCAACACAAATTATATTAACTTGGTACAAGGTACATGATATATGAAATCTTATTATTAGTAACTTGTATTTCAAAATTTAACACGCATACATTGCATAATGATTGCGCATGGACCTTTTTTTTTTTTTTTTTTCCAAAAGATTCAAGAATTAAAAAATTCCTTCTCGGATTTAATTGACTCGTGCTTCAATGTGACTTCAAACTTCCAACATTTACGATTCATGACCCCTTATTCTTCGTAATAGGGTTTCGCACCTACCCAGATACTTACGAAATGTGTTGTAAATACAATTATTCGTCTTATAATGGATCTTGGCTTACGGTAACGAATGCCCGTCCCGAACAGATCGATCTTGGAAAATGCAATTGCTTGGTTAAAGCTATCTTGAGATGCAAAATAAATAAATAAATAATTATGCAATCAAAATTATGTACAAATTAAAGAGCATTTAAAAATATCACAAAGAACAATATGCATGTTATCTAATTTTTACTGGATATTCGGTTTTTTTTTTTTTTTCTTTCTTTTTTTTTTTTTAAAAAAAAAAAAATGACTTCACTCAAACGCGTTCGAACGTCAAGATTTTAGATGATTTCTTAACGTTGACAAGAGTCCAAATCTTTCGAAAACGCCAACAATCGGTAACTTACGTAATTTTCTGATTGGTATATGCACATATGCATTATGTGAAAATTATAAATTGGATGGCCAATTTAGCCTATCCGAAAACTTTAAAATTTGCGTAACAATCACTCGAGAAGCCAAGAATGTTAGAACATCCTCCTAAAAAATTGATTATGCAAAAGAAATCGCTCTCATAAGTACCGTTTTGTAAATTTGGGAACGATCACACAGCCAGTCAATGTTTAAATTAAACTTTTCTTAAGTTAAAGAAGCGACTTTAAAAATGTGATTCACAACATTTTTGATGCAACCGATCATCAATACCATGAGAATAAATTTCTTTTTATTTACCAATCAAAATCCATCAATAAAAAGCAATGGAATACTTTGGTTAATTCAAAAAAAAAAAAAAAAAAAAACTAAATTATTTCTTTGTATTACTTGCAGTGTGTTTGTTTCACGGTTATTAGCTCAGCGGTCCAGGCACGGCCCTTTGTATTTCTAATATGAATTTGTTTCATTAAAAAAAAAAAAAAAAAAAAAACATTGAATATATTTGAATTCGTTTTATTGATGTGGCACATTTCCTACTTTTTCGTTTTCAAAACAGTAAATATATTCTTAAAAGCTAATTTTTTTTTTTTTTTTTTTTTCCTTTTAAACAAACCTCATCTAATTCTGTATCACAGATAAAGGAATTTCTTTTTTTTTTTTCCTTTTTTTTTTCAATAACCACTTCAATAATGGGTAATAAACCCTCTCGTTTAAGAGGATTTATAAAAAAGTTAATGAATAAGTCAAATAATTCACCTATTGCGTCTACATCCGAAGAAAGTACCACGAATAATGATGATGTTTCGAATCGAATAAAATATAATGTACCTACTACACATGATGGCTCGACTCATTCTCGGAGTCCCCACGGTATCTTAAAATATCTGTGGCAAAGTAATTTTTCTGCACCCGTTGAGGATATTTTATTATCTTCTGGAGCAATTCTAGATGCTGGGTAAGGTTTCAAAATTTCTCCTCATATTTCTTTTTTTTTTTTTTTTAAAAAAAAAATTAAAAAAAAATTATATAGATGTGGATTCGGTGCATGGTTAGAAGACATGTCTGCGGAATACCACAAACCAGACTTTGTGGGTGTAGGATTATTTCCACAACACTTCCCTACTCAAATATCGAAAAATATTAAATTCGTACAGGCCGACATATTATGTCTTCCGTTTGAAGATAATCTCTTCGATTTCGTTCGTTTAAGCTATTTTGCGACAACTTTCGCTCATCATGAATGGGATGTTGCAATAAAAGAATTAATTCGGTAAATAGAATTTTGCATTTGGTTTTCAAAAAGTTATTATCATACTAGTAGTAGTCGGGAATAATTTAAAATTCTTAAAAATGTAGCGTCACTATACCCGGTGGTTGGATTGAATTCGTTGAACCTGATTTGGTTCCGAAGGACACGGGACCTATTGGTACCAGGCTCTTGGAGGCTTGTAAGTTTGATTTATTTAAATTTGAAAGTTCTTCTTTCATTACCATCAAGGATGATTGATAATAATACATACGCATTTTCTATTTTTTTTTTTTTCTTATTTAAAAAAAGTCAACCGAATCGTAGTGGATAATTTAAATATAACGGACATATTGGAATTAAAATTGAATGCAACAAAACAGTTGACAGATATCCAACATGATTCAAGGTCATTAACGATAGGAAAGTTGGGCGGGGAAGCGGGAATATCCCATGGAAAGAATATTAGAGAATACTTTGAAGAAAATTCTCAACGATTTTATATGCATATGGGGATCTCTTCCGAAGAATATTCCAAATTATTAGATGATTTCTTTGAAGAATTACAAACTCGTGAAGCTAAATTGAGATTTTTTCGATTTTGGGCTCGAAAGATTTAAAAAAGAACCTATCATCAAAAGTGGTTTAACCTTTTTTTTTTTTTTTTTTTTTTTCTTCTTTCCTATCCTTAAATTAATTAAAATATAAACATCACATGCATGCGACACTAATAAGGTTGCATGATCCTTGAAAAAAAAATACTTTTTTGCCCGTCGCAAATGACATTGACGCGATTTTTTCGTCACGATATCATTTCAACTTCCTGATTGGGTTTACGTTTATTACTAAAACTCGGTACCTTTAATCGGAAAAAGCGATCCAATCGGAATTTTTTGGTTTCCCATGCTCATCGCATTATGTTGTGAATCATTTATTTAGTTTTACGGATTTATATTCGTAATCTATTTTGTGCAACCCGATAGAAAGCTCCCTTCCCAGTTTGGAAAAAAAAAAATTTATTTTATTGAAAAATATTTTAAATGTTTGATTAATTCAATCATTACAAATAAAATTAAGAATACAAGCAAATGTCTGAGAAATTTAAATTCTACAATAATATTTGTGAAAACAAGAATTAAATTCGAGATCAATAGAAAGGGGGACCTCCAATAAAGAGGAAAACCGTTCATCTACGTGAATGTTCATAATCGGATTGGCGTGCACCTCTGCCAGAAATGGCTCTTTGCTTTGCAAATTCCATAAAATTCCCTCTTCTAATTAGACCAAATTTTGACAAAGCTGCGTTAGCGGTTTGAATTCCTCCCCAAGTAAAAACTGCGAAGCAAGCCATCATAAAAGCAACAAATATAAGAAAACCGGCGGTGGGAAGAAACACGAAAAATCCACAAGTTGTCAGAAATCCTTGAGAAACAACCACCCCAGCCCCTGCTATAGCAGATACGAAACCGAATGTTAGAACCATCCATCCGGCAAAAATTATTAACGGAGGGAGAACAAATACTATAAAAGTATAGACAAGCCAACGTAAAGGAGGAAAATTATCCCAGTAATATCTTGTCGTTTGATATGCTTGATCACCGACTTGTCGACCATATTGACACACATCATCATATAATCCTTGAGTTGTCTGGATCGCTCGTGATACTTTTTCGTAAGTTAAAGAAGAAAGATCTTTTACAAATGATAATGATTCTCCTTCAGACATTGTTTATACGTTGAAAGAAAAAAAAAAAAAAATAATTTTTTTTTTTGTGTTGATGATGGTTTGAAAATTTTCGTATTGTGTGAACGAGAAATTTTTTTTTTTTTTTTTTGTTTATCAGATGTTCCTTTATATGTTTGAAATCAAATTATGTAATTATTACTTCAATAAACTCGTGTCATTTTACTTGTGACAAATATCCCTGAAAAATCCTGATTAATGAAAAATTCTCGTGGTAATATTATTTCATTATTACGTTTTTTCATTATTTAAGCTATTAACTATTTGTAGTTTGCTTGATTAAACAAATCCCGTTTTTAAGGAATATCAATTGCTGCGTTAACATCCAAAATTATATCACGTGCTTCACATATATTTTTTCACGTGTGAAAAGGAACGAATGACAATAGACAAATCATGTTTATCTCTCGTTCGCATATCTTGACTTTTCAACCTCTACTATTATATGTTTACATGGATTTATTATTTCAAATTAAAAAAACTAAGGGTTTGGCAAATGAATCGAGAGTGACTTGCACATTTTAATGCATTTCGAGCTTGGTATAAAGCTATGGCAGCTATTGGTGCGAAGGCAAAAAACGTTAAGAGAAGAAATATATTAATATTAATTATACGATCACGTAAGTCATTTATAAATTTTCTACTAATACTATTTAACCTTAATTTTTTTAACAGAATAGAAACCTATAAAATGGAGTACCTTTGCTATTTCCCCCTTTTTTTTCGGCTTTCGGTTCAAGATATGAATCATGGATATCATATAAAAAAAGAACGTACGGTTAATGTACAGAACTGGAGACGCCAGTTTTACATGTTTTGATACAGCCGAAATTTATACCTGGGCTATATCAACTACATTAATCGAATCATGCAAAAATATGTGATACGCGCTTTGAAAAACAATGAGATTGGAATCTTCGTCATTGTGTCGGTGGTGGTCTATTTTCTAAACAAGTTTAGTTTTAAGAATAATAACGTAAAACCAAATAATATAACGTGATTATTATTTATTACTATTATTGTAAAAAAAAAAAAATAAAGAATCGTTATTTATGTATCACTCATTCGCATTGTTTCCTTTTTGCAATGTTTTCACAATGTTTCCTTGATTTTTTTGTTTACTGATGATTGTATTGAAATTAAAGATTTTATATAAATGACCTCTACCTTCTATAAAATGGTTTTTCAAATTCATTGCAAATTCATACTTGTAGATTACAAATTTTGATATGCATCTTCACGTTCATTATAAACCTTTGCACCTTCAGAAACGATCCATTAATACATAGTTTCCACGTAAGTCAAAAATTTAATATTTGAGATAATCAGAGCGTATTGAACTTAACGGAGTTGGTTTCTAGTTTGAAAACATGTTGGATTCTATCATAATCCTTATTCAATACGGCAAACGAGTTTTCATGGGCGAGAATCTTAATACAAAACAATTTAATAAGGCAAAAAAAATATATATCGTTAGATTCGAAGCACTAGTCCGGAGCACAGTGGTTTATTTTATTCTGAGTTTTTCCGAATGTACCGAGTATCTCTCGGCATATGACTATATGGGAAATCAGGTTCTGAGAATTTTTTTAACTAAATTAAGATCTTATTAAATTTTAATCAAAAACTATGAACCTAGCTTATTACGAATTTTGTTGTAAAAACGAGGTTAACAAGACAAGATTTTGTGAGATTAACAGCCTCACGGTATGAAACCCTAACTTCAAAATCATGAGATAATTTTCACTTTTGTTGGGTTGATCCATGGAATATCCAGAATCAAATTTTGACCGAGCCGTGGGAAGAGATATACAGTATAAATATTTCCTCATCACCAAGATCATCCCATCTGGTAACAATGAGTGAAGTAGATTATTTTAATGAGGATCAAATAAAAGTGTCTTCTTTTCAACATTTTTAGCAGAATTAGATGATGATGAAATCAGGGAATTGATTTCACGCAGTTTCGATTCTTATTAAAATTACTTTCGATTCGCCTTTCAGCGTACTTATTAACGGGGCACTTTAAACCATTCTATGAATTAACCAGGTAGCAGAGAGAGAATGTTAAACAAACATGGGCCATCTCATCAAGTTTCTATATCATAGCTTTGCATTGTTAATTACAGGATCATTTTGGTTAAATCCGCCAATGGAAATCACCAATACGATTGGGTATCCTGTCACCGATCCCGAAATCAATTCAGAAAAGTTTACATCAAAATCATTTCCAACTTATGATTTCATAGGAATACCAGCTGAAGGATGTGAGTTGGAATTCGATGTGATCGTGATCAGTAGCGGAGCAGGTGGAGGTTTCGTGGCGGCTGAATTAGCCAAAGCCGGGAATAGTGTTTTGAAAGGAAAATATTACCATCAAAGTGAGTTAACCACGAGAGCTTAAAAAATCTTTTGTGATGTGAGTGGTTTGATTTATTTATTTGATTTTCTTCACTTACTTGAATCACTCGTTCATTCTTGTTTCTTCTCCTTAACCCATAGGCAAATACGGAGAGAAGCAATCGCTCTAATGCCATTTTTGCAAAATGCAAGGGATTCAGGAGCGAAATTTACACTGGATTGAGAAAATATTAATCAAAAATGGCAAGGCGAGTGGGGTCGACGTCATAGTATCAGGGGATAGGAGATTAATCGCTTCGGCGAAAATCGTCGTAATATCAGCTGGATCGATTCATTCGCCTGCAATATTATTAAAAGAATTTACATATACATCCAACATGTACTACGTATGGTATATTTCCGGATAGAGATATTAAAGGTTATGATGGGACAATAATATGTTCGGAGAAATTGAAACTCCAGTATTACATCCGTCTCATATCGCTGGTTCGTATCCCTGGAAAGGTTCTCTGCATCATAAACAATTATTGCTAGGGATCAACAATTTGTCAACCTTAATAGTCGTTACGAGGGATAGGGATGGCGGTAATATTTTTATTGACTAAGAGGGTAGAACTAGGTTGAATTATATTTTAAGTGAACATGATAAACATAGCTTATTACAAGGCATTATCTTGTCTTTGAAGATTTTGGTTTCTGCTGGTGCTAAACAGGTTGGAACTGCTCAGGCCGGCATTGAAGATTTCTTTGTTAATGAATTGGGCAACGTTGAAGAATCATCTTTTTTGAAATATTTGGAAAAGGTTGAAGATATTGGATTGACCGAGAATAGGACTTTCATCGGAACCGCTCATCAAATGGGCACTTGGTAATTATGTTCCTTAAGAAAGTTTGAGACCTTGAATGATGAAATTTAATAAATTCGTTTTCAACGTTACAGTCGAATGGGAGATCATCCTTTGAATTCGGTGGTGGACCCTCAAGGTAAAGTTTGGCGAATCTAAACTCTATTTTTTTTTTTTTTTTTTAAAAAAAAAAAAGACATATACACATTATTTTTACCTTTATATTTTTTATTTTAGACAACTACAATGGTCTATTGCGCAATTTATCACTATTTTCCCATTATATATATATATATTATTTATATTCAATTTTTTTTTGTTAAACATAAATTGAATCTTATTGAAAATTAAATTAATTATTTTCAAATTTGTAATAAATCTTTCTAACCAGGCAGTTAATCTTATGCATGTGATCGGAATTCACAAATCATGAATGCATTTTTATATTCATTTCGAAAAAGAAATTTATAAAAATATTTTAATAACCTAGTATTAGTAAGAAGCTTGTATGATTTTATCAATTGGTTGCGAATGTGATTTTGGTAACTCCATATAACATTATTAGAGTGTGATAGAGATGCACCATCAATAATTAATTATTTTTACGTGAAATTTTAACACAGAAAGAATTTAGTTATGAACAAATAAATGTTAGATCATTTTACCAAGAAATATTCTTATAATACCACTTGTTCAATCATTATCGTCGTTAAAGGAATCCAAATCATTTCTTTAATATGAAAATATGACTTTAATATAGAAAAATACGGTAAATTAGACAATATCGAGTCTCGAGAGTTCTATGGAATTTTCCAATCAATCTCATCAACAAACTTTCCTCTGTATAACTGTGCAAACCATTAATAATTCAGGTTGTGTACCGCGAGTACATAGTTTAAAAAAGAAACTTCCATAATCATAAGCTATAATAATAAGAAAATTTTATATTATTCTTTATTTTATTGCCTTTTATGGTAAAATTCAAATTTTTGTCTAATCTGTTCCTTTCCAAGGCAGACAAATAAAACGCATGATGTATTTGATTTTTTTCCATTGGAAGTATAACAAATGATCTTATACGCGATATGCTTTTTCCGCGCGTTTCGTGTAATAAAAAATAAAATACACCAAATCATATTATTTTTGTTGATCGTTTGGGAAAAAAAATTTTTTTCAATTAAGTTATTTGGCGTTTTTCGTACTTTGGTTTATCAAGAGAAAGAGAAAACATGAGTAAAACTTTATTACCTTGAATTTTGTTATAAAAATGGTAAAAATCCGAGAGCTTTTTTTTTCTTCAGATTTTTTTATAAAATCGCAAAAAAAAAAAAAATAAATAAATAAATAAATAAATAAAACAAAACCTAAACGAAACGAAAAAAATTAATCACTCTTAACGAAAACATTGAAAATGAAAACTTTTATGATTATTGCATTCGTCTTGTTGCAGGTACATCTTTATTTTGAAATATCTTTTCATCATCATTTTTTTTTTTATCGTAAGCTTTAACAATTTTTAATAAAAATTAGACGCTTTTTGCCTCTGCTCAAGAACTTCCACCAACAAAGCTTGATTTCCATACCGTTAAGGTCCCTAAGTATGGGTTATGGTTCAAATGCAATACAATGCCAAACCAATATGTTAGTACGTATTGAAATATTTTCAATTTTCATTATCACACTCAACGTAATTAACAAATTTGCTTTTTAGGTTACGCCATAAAATTAGCCAGTACATACGCACAAGTAGATCCAATAGATTATGGTGGCAAATATAAGTTTCTTACGGATCCTCAAGCTGGAAATAGTTTTTACGGAAAATATGGAAAAGGATTTATTTCTAGGGTCACTAACGGAACTGCTTACGCTATCGCATCGCAATGTGGAGACACCGGCCCTAATGATGAATTTTTAGGTGTATCATATTCTTGCGGGAAAGAAGCACCACCGATGCCTCTTGAAACGTGGTGTTTAAATATTTATAACCCATTTTCCAACGACCAAAAGTTTGATGTCGTTCTTTCTTTTACTGAAAGTGTATTTGTAAATGCTCCAAATCGAAAAGAATCCTCAACTATAGTTAATGAAGTTAGACCGATAAATCACAAATAATAACAAAAAGAGAAAGGTTAGACATAATGATCGCCCACGTCGCAGTATACAATTTATGATTAAAAACAGAGAATATAAATTTATTTATTTTTTTTTTTTTGCGTAATTTAAGAATTTCTTGTGAATCTTTATATTTTTTTTTGGAATTTACACGGTTGTTATTCTCTTGAGATTTTCTTTTTTTTTTTTCTATTTTGATTATCTAGAATTTGACAGTATCTGGAAATTTAACCAGACATTACGATTTTTTTAAAATGAGTATTTTACGACAAGATTGATAAATAACGTTTCCATTCCTAGTTTATTTACGATGACAATAAATAAGATATAAACAATAGATAAAAAAAAAAAATACCCCTCTTTGTTTTTTTTTCTGATAATTCAACGATCATTGTTCTAGTAAGATCATTAATATTGTTTACTAATTTGTAATACCAAATATTTTAAGGTTTAAATCAAATATGTAAAATGAAAATTTAGTATATTTGAAAGAAACTTCTCTTTGAACATCAAAATCCTTTTATTTTTTTTTTTTTTGCGCCTTCTCCAGAAAGTGGCAAAAAGTAATGAAGGGTTACTTATGATTGAGATTCAACCATCAAAATTTACTTAGCACGGTATTTAAGAATTCACGACCTTTATTCGCTTGTATTGTAAAAATTAAAATTTAACTCGGAACAAAAAAAATTTTAAAAGTTTTAAAATGTAATAGATATTATTTGTTATTCTATCCTTGAATTAAGGGGTAAATCTAAACATTCTTAGATTCCTTCTTCGTTACTAATTTTTCAATAGTGAAACGAGACGCAAAATGTTATGATTTACTCTCAAATTTGTCTTTTAAATCTTTAAAATGAGAAAACAAATTTTAATTTGTGAACCTTGATAATAATTTTTACTGGATGATTCACAAAAAGAGAAATTTTAGGACATTTAATATTCTACTTTTATCTCCTATATAATCATTCCCTCACTTTAGTCGCATTTCATTTAATCCCGATCTTTTTAAATGGAAAATACCCTCTTTATAATCACAGTCATATTATAAAATATAATCACACCATTTACAAGGCCCGATATTATAATAAATATTAATAAATATACGAAATTTACCCTTATATAATCACAGTAAAATTTTACCCCCTAAAATTTGTTAATGGTTTAGTCGAAAAGTTATTGAAACCAACGAAATAGAAACTTAATAACAAAATATTTGTTTTATGTATATAAATTTTTTATTTTACATATTTCGGAAATAAAATCATATAATACTTTTCTAGAAATTTCTGTTTCATATTTTCTTGGAAAATCATATGAGAGTAAATAAAAAAAAAAAAAATAAGAAAGTTCTCTATGGGAAGATAAAAAAAAAACCAACAACACATTGGCTATTTGATCATACGCGACATGTAACGTTTCGCAAAAAAATTAGATGATGACTGAACGATAGATTAAAGTATAGTAAATAAAGAGAAATGCTAATGTTATATTTAATTGGCAAAGTTGGATAGATATATAATTTAAATTTGGCAAAGAACCCAAATATTAAAATATTTTAAATTATCAGGTTATGACAGGATAGATTCAAGGCTTAAAATCATATTTTGAAGGAAAAGGCGGAAACGTGTGGATGTTACAGGTTATATTATTTTGGAACCAATGAAATTCATTGAAATTAAAGGAATTTAAAATATAGGTTCGCTAATTATTGGCTTACAAAAAAGTACATTACGCGTAAGGGTTCTAATATATTCCCCGCAAGCAAATTGTGATTTGAAATAATTAACGAGAACTTTTCATTGGAATTTTTTAAACATTGATGGGGTAATTCTAAAGAAAATTTATAATTATGTAATTATTAGTGAATTTTTTTGAAGAAAAAACATTATCGCTACGTTTGAATCAGTTTCAGAGTATAGCGACACAATTTTTTTACCCATATAAATATGTGGTAAATCCTTCTCTCAGATATTATCAGCTGTCCTTAAATTAGCTGTAACTGGCTAATAAATAATTCTCTAGTTCTAATCACTAGTAATTTATTTAAATAACGAATACTCTCTTTTCGGTTAATCATTCTGTCTAT